GTATTGTGATGCTTCGAGAGTAGGTATTGGGTGTGTATTGATGCAGGAGGGTAGAGTTATTGCTTATGCTTCTCGTCAATTGAAGCCCCATGAGAAGAACTACGATGTTCATGATTTAGAGTTAGCTGCCATTGTTTATGCGCTGAAGATTTGGAGGCATTATTTGTATGGTGTGTCTTGTAAGGTGTTTATTGATCATTGTAGCCTCTAGCACTTGTTCAAACAGAAGGATCTCAATTTGAGGCAGCGGATATGGTTGGAGTTGCTAAAGGATTATGATATTACTATTTTGTACTATCCGGGGAAGGCCAATGTGGTGGCCGATGCTTTGAGCCGGAAGGCGGTGAATATGGGGAGTTTGGCATATATTCCAGTTGGGGAGAGACCTTTTGTAGTTGATGTTCAGGCCTTGACCAATCGGTTTGTGAGATTAGACATTTCGGAGCCCAATCGGGTATTGGCTTGTGTTATTTCTCGGTCTTCCTTATTTGATCGCATCAGAGAGCGCCAGTATGATGATCCTCATTTGTTTGTACTTAAGGAAAGGGTTCAGCACGATAATGCCAAAGATATGACTATTGGTAATGATGGGGTATTGAGGATGCAGGGCCGGATATGTGTGCCCAATATGGATGGGCTTCGGGAGTTGATTTTGGAAGAGGCCTATAACTCGTGGTATAGGAGAATGAAGAAGGACATTGTGAGATTTGTAGCTCGGTGTCTCAATTGTTAGCAGGTAAAATATGAGCATCAGAGACCGGGTGGCTTGCTTCAGCAGATGGACATTCCAGAGTGGAAGTGGGAGAGGATCACTATAGATTTTGTAGTTGAACTCCCACGGACTTTGAAGAACTTCGATGCTATTTGGGTGATTGTGGATCGGCTGACCAAGTCCGCACACTTCATTCCTGTGTGTACTACCTATTCTTCAGAGCGGTTGGTAGAGATCTATATCCGGGAGATTGTTAGTTTGCATGGTGTTCCGGTTTCCATCATTTCAGATAGAGGTACTCAGTTTACTTTGCAGTTTTGGAGGTCTGTGCAGCGAGAGTTGGGTAATCAGGTTGAGTTGAGCATAACCTTTCACCCTCATACGGACGGGCAGTCCGAGTGCACTATTCAGATATTGGAGGACATGTTGCATGCTTGTGTCATTGATTTCGGAGGGTTATGGGATCGGTTTCTGTCGCTCATAGAGTTTGCTTATAACAACAGCTACCATTCGAGTATTCAGATGGCTCCATATGAGGCTTTGTGTGGGAGGTGGTGTAGTTCTCCAATTGGTTGGTTTAAGCCGGAAGAGGCCAGGCTATTGGGTACAGACTTGGTGTAGGATGTTTTAGACAAGGTGAAGGTGATTCAGGAGAGGCTTCGTACCGCGCAGTCGAGGCAAAAGAGTTATGCTAATAGAAAGGTTCAGGATGTGTCCTACATGGTTGGTAAGAAGGTTCTATTGAAGGTGTCACCCATGAAGGGTGTTATGAGATTTGGGAAGAAGGGTAAATTGAGTCCTCGGTTTATTGAGCCGTTTGAGGTGCTTCGGAGGATTGGGGAGGTGGCTTATGAGTTTGCTTTGCCACCCAACTTATCGAGTGTGCATCCAATATTTCATGTTTCTATGCTCCGGAAGTATATTGGAGATTCGTCTTATGTCTTGGATTTCAGCACGGCTCAGTTAGATGGTGATTTGACTTATGATATGGATCCAGCAACTATTTTGGAGCGTCAGGTTCGAAAATTGAGATCAAAGGATATAGCTTCAGTGAAGGTGCAGTAGAGAGGTTGGCCAGTGGATGAGGTTACCTGGGAGACCGAGCGGGAGATGCGGAGCAGATATCCTCACCTATTTGAGGCTACAGGTATGTTTCTTGACTCGTTCGAGGACGACCGTTTGCTTAAAAGGGGGAGGATGTAACGACCTGGTCGGTTGTTTTAGGAGTTACCGCTCTGTTTTCCCCATTTATGCTTCTTATTGCCTTGTTCAATGGTATTATGTGTTATCAGGTTGGTTGGCTCGGGTTCGGAGAGGTTTGGTAAAGTTTGAGGTACTTAGTCTCTTTTGAGTAAGCTTAAGTTGGAAAAGTCAATCGGATGTTGACTTATGTGATAAAGGGCTCGGATGGGAGTTCCGATGGTTCGGATAGCTTTGGGAGGTGATTTGGGACTTAGGAGTGTGATCGGAATGTATTTTGGAGGTCCGTAGTAGGTTTAGGCTTGAATTGGCGAAATTGGTATTTTGGCATTTTCCGATTGATAGGTAAGATTTTGATATAGGAGTCGGAATGGAATTCCGGAAGTTGCAGTAGGTCCGTTGTGTCATTTGGGATGTGTGTGCAAAATTTCAGGTCATTCGGACGTGGTTAGATAGACTTTTTGATCAAAAGAGTAATTCGGAAGATTTTTGGAACCTTAGGCTTGAATCCGATGTGTTTTGGTTGATTTGATGTTGTTTCAGGTGTTTTGAAGATTGGTATAAGTTTGAATAGTGGTATATGACTTGTCCGTGCTTTTGGTTGAGGTCCCGAGGGCCTTGGGGTGGTTTCAAATGGTTGACGGAAGATTTGAGTTGGGTTTTTGGCAGCTGAAGTTTTAGGACTGCTGTCATAACCGCATCTGCAGTTGGGAGGCCGCAGGTGCGACCCCCGCAGATGTGGAAGCAAGCCGCAGAAGCGACCATCAGCTGGAACCGCAGAAGCGGTTAAGGAAGCGCACTTGCGCTATCGCAGGTGCGGGATTTGCATCGCAGATGCGGTGCCTAGGTTTTAAGTGAGGACCGCAGATGCGGTGTCTTGGACCATAGAAGCGGGATGCAGAAGCGGTAATGGGACCGCAGGTGCAAAAAGCCTGGGCCAGAAAGTATAAAAGGTTTCCTTCGCTATTTTTGAGTTATTCTTCACCATTTTCATACGGGTTTGAGTTTGAGGGAGCTATTTGAAGAGGGATTTCAAGGGGATTTTATAGAGGTAAGATTTTTGGACCTTAAACTCGTTTCTATGGTGTTATTTCACTGATTTGGCTTGAAATTAATTAGAATTTAAGGGTTAAAATTGGGAATTAAGGCTTGAGATTTGAGGCCTTTAAGTAAGGGTTTGAGGAGTCATTTGTAGTCGGATTTTGGTACTTTTGATATGTATGAACTCATGAGGAGATAAGGAGTCTATTGATGTAAAATTTATCGAATTCCGAGACCTGGGCCCGGGGGTCGGGTTTAGCCAATTTTGGGATTTGTGTTGTAATTTGATTTCTTTCAAGTGGGCTTTGTTCCCTTAGCATATATTGATGGTTCTGCACTGATTTTGGTTAGATTTGGAGCATCTGGAGGCCGATTCGAGAGTCAAAGGTATCACGGGCTAGAGTTTGGACCAGATAGAGGTGAGTAATGATCGTAAATGTTGCCCTGAGGGTATGAAACCTCAGATTCCACATCGTTGTGCTACTTTGAGGTGACGCGCATGCTAGATGACGAACATGGGGTCGTGCACTGTTGGGGATTGCGACTTAGTCCATCCCGAATGACTGTTTTACTACGTATTTGATTGAAAACTATTTTCTATCATCATGTTTTGGGCTAAATGCCATATCTGGGCCTCGTACCAACTGTTTTGGACCCTTAGAGGATTTTTACTACTATTCCTCACTATTTTGACTTTATACTTGTACTCAGTCATGCTATATTCTACTATTTTTTTATAACTCGGCCATGTTTATTCTGTTTTGACATCTTAAATGATATTTTGAGCTGAGCATCATATTTTACTATGCCCGAGTGGCGTTTAAAGATTTCTAACTGAGTAGGGCCGAGGGCTTGTGTTGTGAGGTTATTATGGGATCGGGTTGCGCGCCGCAGCGGTATTGAGTTGATTCATGATTATGAGGCCGAGGGCCTGAGTTGTATGCCATAAGGTGGCTTGATATGAGGTCGAGAGCCTATTGATTATGCCATAAGATGGCTTGATATTGCGCTTGGGCCGTAAGGGGCCCCTCCCGGAGTCTGTACACCCCTAGTGAGAGCGGGTACCCAGTGTGATATGTGATATAGCCCGAGGGGCTGATGTGGTTCCATGTTATTGCTCGATGGGCTAATTCTATTGATATTGTGCCTGAGGGGTTGATTTTATGTGTTTACCCTTTCTCGCTGCTTTTTATTCACTTGTTTAACTGTTAAAAGATGTTTTAAAGAAGCTTATACTTAACTAAGATGTTTTATGAGATTTCACTATTTTATTGCTTTGCAAAGGTTTTTCACTGTCTCTTTGTAGCATTTTACTGTATTTTACGTGTTTTCTTATCGCTCAACCTTTATTTAATTTTATTACTCACTGAGTTGGCATACTCACATTACTCCCTGCACCCTCTGTGCAGATACATGAGCCTCGGGTCCTGCTAGTGAGGGTTGACTGCTTTCAGCGGGCTATTTTGGAGTTTACTAGGTAGCTGCTCGGCGTTCGCAGCCCAGTGTTTCTCCCTCTTATCTTTATTTTTTCCTTGTACTGGATTCTGTAATAGACGATGTAGTTCCTTCTCCAAACTCTTAGACTTATGTTAGATCCTCATGACTGGTGATACCCCGATGTCGGACTGTGTTGGTTTTCCGCAAATTGTACTATTTCACTTTTATTTTGGGATTATTAGCATGTAATGACTTAAATTGTGTTATTATAATTGTTTAAAAATAAATTAGGAGTTGTGTCGGCTGGCCTTGTTTCACGATAGGCGCCATCATGAGGGTCCAGATTTAGGATCGTGACAAATATAGTACTAGTTTCTATGTACGTGCCTTGCATGTAAATCTTCAGTCAACTATTTATTTATTGGAGCAAAAAATTAAACTTAACCTTAATTAAATACAAGAAATATGTTTTTTTGGAGATATGGACTTTTTTATTATACAGAAATGAGAAGTTGGTCGACCAAGGGTATATTTGTCATTATACCCTCTCATATTATTATTTTAATATTATTTTATCTACACTATTCTAGACTTTTCCGTCACTTTTCCGTCAAAATCTTGCATCCATCAAAAACCCCAACACCCTACACTTTTCCAGTCACTTTTATCTACTTTGCTCAGGCACTTTCATCTCATTTACTCATCTGTAAGTCACTTTCATCTCATTTACTTTGATTCATCTGCTCAACTAGCTTGGTAAATTTTTTTCTCATCTCCTTTCCATCTCTTCTCAAAATTTCGGATTTCATGCTGAAGTTTTTTGCAGGTTCCATTATTGTTCATTCAAACTTCTATCAAGAATTACTTTATCAGTTTTTCCCTTCTACTTTGAATGTTCTAATTTCAGATCTGAATGTCTCCTACTTTTTTTCCCCAAGAACTAATTTATCAATTTTTTTCATCTACTTTGGTAGTTCCAATTTCAAATCCGATTTTCTATCTACTTAGTGCAAAAATCGGTACTTACTACTTGTTAAAGGGTATCATGATTTAGGCTCTCTGTTTTATTGCTTTTCTGTTGGAATTTTAGGGTAGAACCTTTTTTAACCTAAAGAGGAGATGATAGTTACTATTACTATGGTTAATAAAAGCAATTGAGTAGTAAGCCATTCGTCAAGTGTTGGTGCATATAAAGAGAAGGGTTAAATGTATAGCTCTAAATAAACAATACTAAATACTGTACATTAAATTTGTGTAGAGAATAGAAACATGAGTTAAAGAAACAAGAAAAAATAGTATATAGGAATGACTTAACAAGAGGGAAAAAAAAGGAGTTTCTAGGTATTACTCCATCCATTTTATTTAATTTAATGTGATATTGTTTATTTAGACCGTATCTAAAAACGATGTATTTTTTTGATAAAGTTTTACCTTTAAATTTTCCATTTTCCATGGTACTTTTGATACGGTAATTTTTTTAAAAAAATTTCATACTCAATCATATATAGATGGTCATCGTTCATTGAAAAAGAAAAGATATTTTCTTTCTTCCAATTAACGTGATCCTATATTCTTTTTGGTATATTAAAAAAGAAATGATCCCTTCTTAAATTTAAATATAATTTAATGTAAACTTCTCATTTGAACTTTTCTTTGACCAATAATCAGCAAAGCGGCAAATAATTTTAAGTAAATTTAATGTTTGTAGCATTATATGAACTAATATTGAATTACATGGAAAGTGAATGCTCAATATGTTTGGGATCCTATGAAGACAAGAAATTGTTAAAGTTATGCCTAAATATTACTATAGATTTCATTCTCCATGCCTTGATAAGTGACTTGGTAATCGTTAAACTTGTCCCCTTTGAAGTTCTTCTATTGATTCTTCTACTAGCATTTTAAGTTGTTCGATTGATACTCATCTACCTAAGTTATGTATGCAGATTCAAATTTCATCTCTATTATATAGGAATTGATTCAAACAATGACGATATTAAGATATAAACAATATAATAATGTCTTTTACTCTTGTAATTTGAATATTATCTATCTTTTTCTGGTTGTGGTTGCCTATTATTGATACTTTTCTTTATTTGTTTTATTTTGCTTATAGGACTCACTCTTTGTTGTGATAGTTGCGTGTTCACGCGCTTTAGTAACACTCACTGTGTGGTAAGTACTGCCCTTCTACTAGATTTATTTTTAAAAAAAATATTTTTCTTTACCTTCTTCGTATTAAGGAGGAGGTGTACCAGAGCATCAAAAGTTTTTGATTTTGGAAATAGCATTCCCTCTGTCTATCTTAGTCGTTTGTCATTTATTTATTTTTATTATTGTTTTTGATGAGTAAAGAATTTACTCATTTTATTCATTTCAGGTCATCTCATCATACTTTAACTCTTTTCAACTAAAAGGAATACTATACTATTCAGAATCAGTTATGAAATTTATATCATTACCTGAGTTGATTTTGTTTATGATATATGTCAATATGATTAAACTTACATTACTCATAAGCATATCATTATAAGTAGCTAAAATTTTAGTGTTTTCCTTTTTAAGCCTTAGTAATAAGAAAAATATCTTGGCAATAGATAAATTGCCTTAATGGCAAATAGAAACCATGAAAATGACCGGACCTTTGGAAAATCACATGCTGACAAAAGGGCTAGGAGATGCGAATTATATAGACTGATGCCACCTGATAAAAAAGAGGCCTTTTTGGCACGACGACATGCAAACAGAGCTGAATTAAAAAGACAACGGCCTACTGAATCTTCAATTAGTATTGATGCAGCTAACGCATCAACCTCTAATGCTGCCAATGTTTCTACCAACCAAAGTTCTCTTATAATAAAAGACCCATTGCCTTTTTCAAGGAAAAGAACAGGTATGACTAAAAATCAAGCTTTCTTTAAACTACATCTACTAAGAACAGTAGTGATTACCTTTTTTGGGTTAATAATCTACTCAATACTAGAGTTTTCATATGAAGGGAATGTTTTCACAGAACCTGGTTGTTCGAATAGTATGCAAGCAGAGAATACTTATGTTAAATTAAAAGAAGTACCGAAATGCCAATTTTGTGGAGCAAAAAAATTTGAATATGAACCGCCTGCATTCTGTTGTGGTAACGGTTCTATTCAACTAATTTCACATGAAATGCCAACATAGTTAAGAAACCTTTATTTGGGAAATAGTGAGGAATCAAAACAGTTTAGAACTTACATTATAACATACAATAACATATTTGCGTTTACATCCCTTGGTGTAACTTATGATAAAGAGCTAGCAAAAAGAAATAATGGTGTCTATACATTCCGTGTTCAAGGGAAAATGTATCATTTCATAAATGACTTGATACCAGCTTATCAAAAAGAAAAAAACCTTCAGTTATACTTCTTTGATAGTGAAAATGAAGTGAGAAATCGAATGGCATGTTCAAATAAACTGAATGAAGATATTGTAAAAAGTTTGATGAATATACTAAAAATTAATCCATACTCAATGTTTCTGAAATCCTTAATAAATATTCCACAATTATTTAATTTCTACATTGCGCTTAAGAGTGATGCTGGTTTAGATCAACGAGTATACAATTTACCAACTGTATCAGAAGTTGCAGGTATATGGGTCGAACAAGATATCAATAACTCTATTCCTGCACCGCATATACGTATATATACGAAAAATGATAGAAGTCAGTTGGTTAATTATTATTGTGGTTATTATGATCCATTACAATATCCATTATTGTTTCCTTACGGTCAAAATGGATGGCATTGTGGTATTAAGAAAATTAAGCATTCTACTGGTAAATCAACAATGTGAATATACTGTGAACATGAACAATTACCGAGTATAATGAATATGTGTTCAATTGATGGATTACTCGATATGGAAGCTGAGGTTATGCAAAAAGGAAAACGAAAAAGAGACAATGTTTCTTGTCGTGAATATTATTGTTACAAACTTCAAATAAGAGATGATCAAAATATACTTTTACATGCTGGAAGATTATTCCAACAATATATTGTGGATGAATGGATAAAAATTGAAAGCCAAAGATTAGACTTTGCAACTTTTAATCAGGATTTATTCAGAGTTGATGTATTAGGTGGGCTCTTAGATATTCTACGATGTGGGGAAAGAGAAGCTTCACAGGTTGGAAAACAAAAAAATACTCCCACTTAGCTTTACAGGAGGCCCAAGAGATATGCGTCGAAGGTATATGGATGCTATTGCATTAGTGCAACGGTTTGAAAAATCAGATATATTTTTTACTATGACGTGTAATCCTTCTTGGCCTGAAATAAAAGAAAACATTCTGACAATAGATGAAACATAAAATAGACCCGATTTAATTAGTCGAGTATTTCGAGCAAAACTAGAAGAGTTGAAAAAGGATATTCTCAAAACACAAATATTTGGTAAAGTCGCAGCATTTATGTATATAGTGGAATAACAAAAACGGGGACTTTCACATGCTCATTTTCTTATAATAATTGATGAGAAATATAAATTACTAACTCCTGAAGCATATGATCGATTTGTATGTGTTGAATTACCAGATAAAAAAGAAAATCCTACATTATATTCACTTGTTATAGATCATATGATGCACAGTCCATACGGAGAATTAAATCCAACAAATTCTTGCATGAAAAAAAGGGGTCATTGTAAATTTAAGTATCCAAAGGAGTTTGCAGAACAAACAACTAAAGGAAAAAATTCATATCCAATTTATCGAAGACGAAACACAGGAAAGAAAGTACAAATAAGAGGACACCTTCTTGATAATTCATGGGTTGTTCCTTATAATCCATATTTACTTTGTAAGTTCAATTGTCATATGAATATAGAGATTTGCTCTAATATTAAAGTTGTTAAGTACATTTATAAGTATATTTGCAAAGGACATGATAAAATTGCATTTCATATACATGCTAATGATACAAACATAGAGATAGATGAAATAAAGGAATATCAATCTGCTAGGTGGGTGTCACCACCTGAGGCTGCATGGCGTATATTTGTTTTCCCTATTAGTGAAATGTTTCCAAATGTATATCTTCTCCAGCTTCATCTTGATGGACAATAACTTGTTTCCTTCAAGAATACAGACAATATTAGTAAAATTGTGAACAATCTTATGGTTAAAAAAACAATGTTAACTGAGTTTTTTTTAATGAATCGAGAAAACAAAGATGTTATGGACTTAAATTTATTATATCGAGAATTTTCAGAATACTTTGTATGGTCAACAACAGATAAAACATGGACACGTCGTCAACGAGGAAGTGCTATTGGTCGTGTGGTAACATGTCATCCAACTGAAGAGGAAAGATACTATCTTAGATTGCTTCTAATGAATGTGAGAGGACCAAAATCATATAAAGATTTGCGAACTGTAAATGGAGTACAATGCAAAACATTTAGAGAAGCTGCAGAAAAATGAGGATTATTACTTTGTGATAATAATTTGGTAGAATGTATGTCTGAAGCGGTAAGTTATCAAATGTCGTCCAGTTTAAGACAATTATTTGTTATGTTATTAATATATTTTAATCCAACTAATCCAAGAGAACTATGGGAAAAAATTGAAAACCCAATGTCTGAAGATATCAAAATAAATTCGAATATAGATACAAGAGAAATCCATTACAAAGTGTTAAACCATATTAACAATATTCTTCATTCAATGGGTCGTGATATTAATGAATTTGAACTAATTTCAGAAATAATAAAGCCATCTGCAGCAGCAAAAGAAGCTAAAGATGTTGATTTCGAAAGAAACATCATTGTTAGAGAAGAAGATTTAATGTTAGAAAAAAAATTAAACATTGATCAAAGAAGAGCTTACAATATGATTCTTGATAGAATATTTTCAAATAGACCAGGGACATTGACGGCCCCGATGGAACTGGTAAAAGCTTTTTATATCGTGCTTTATTAGCTACTGTAAGGCACAAAGGATTTATAGCTTTAGCAACTGCAAGTTCCAGAGTTGCAGCTTCACTTCTTCCTGGAGGTCGAACTGCTCATTCCCGCTTTAAAATTCCCATTGATGTTAATGAGAATTTCATCTGCAATATTAGTAAGCAAAGTTCATTAGTATCTTTGATACGAGATGCAAGACTAATTGTATGGGATAAAATTTCAATGTCAAAAAAGGAAACAGTAGAAGCATTCGATTTCCTTTTAAGAGATCTAATGGAAACTAATATAATATTTGGTGGAAAGGTAGTTGTCTTTAGTAGTGATTTTAGACAAACTCTTCCCGTAGTCCGTAGTGGAAAAAAGGAAGATTTTATTCGTGAAAACTTATTGTGCTCTAAAATTTGGAATTAACTTGAAAAATTACAACCATCGGAGAATATGCGTGCGAAAACAGATCCTGCTTTTTGTGAATATTTAATGAGAATTGGTAATGGAAAAGAAAGACAAAATGCCTATGGAAAAATTGAAATTCCTCATTCTCTCATTATTCCTTTTACTTCTGAAAAAGAATCGTTGAATATGCTCTTCCGAGTTACTTATCCTGATTTATACAAATGTCATTCAAATACTTCTTTTATTACTTCTCGTGTTATTCTAACAACCAACAATGATTTCGTTGATGAAATAAATGACATGCTTCTTGCTCAATTTCCAACCACCGAAAAAGTTTACATTGCTACTGATGAGACAATTGATCCAAAAGATCAGAGTGAGTATGAAGATTTTTTGCACACTTTAAATCCTGCTGGTTTGCCTCCTTATAAATTAGCTTTGAAGAAAAATTGCCCGATTATGTTATTAAGAAATTTGAGTCCCAGTGAAGGTTTATGCAATGGAACACGATTAATATGTAATGATTTTAAAACTCATGTCATTAGTGCAGTAATATCTAGCAGCGATTTTAAAAATAGACATGTATTTATTCCCTGAATACCACTCATGACATCAGAAGATGAAAAATTACCTCTCCCTTTTAAAAGAACACAATTTCCAGTTCGATTATGTTTTGCCATAACAATAAATAAAGCTCAAGGTCAAACATTAAATTTTGTGGGTATCTATTTGCACGAACCTGTCTTTTCTCATGGTCAATTGTATGTTGCTTTATCAAGAGCCAAAAGTTCTAATTGTGTGAAAGTATTAATTAGACCACCTACAGCTGACGGTGATGATGATCACTCTACATATAATATAGTCTATGATGAAATTATTAAAAAAGCCTTTTCCTGACCATATGCTATAATTTCTTATGGTAAATCTAATTATAACTTGATTTTTTTCTATATTCTTTCATTTATATTAAACTATGTCTATTTTTATTGTTAATGTATACTGTTATACTAATATAAATATATTGTAATTGCAGGATTAATTCCACTATGGGTGAAAGGTTAACTATAAACATGATCACTCCCAATGCAGAAGAATGGACCTGTAAGATCCAAGTAATTGATAAAAGTCGTCCCAAAGACAACAAAGAGAAAACCAAAAAATATCAACTCATGACTTTACAGGATGAAGAAGTAATTTTTTTTTAAATTCACAAATTTGCCAACAATAATTGAATTAATCCATTTTTTCCTCATATACTAGAGATTGCTCATATTAAAATTTGATATATTTTGCTGGTATAATTTTCCCAATTTATTTGAATATGATTAAAATCTAATTGTATCTTATTTTCATACAGGAAAATCAAGTTCAGGCCATCATGTTCAACGCTGATATAACGCATTTTGAAGATCTATTTGATCCTTTCCACACTTACTTGGTGTCAGTTGCACAAGTGAAGGAGTCATCTTATTTATATGCAAATCCACTTAATAAATTCATTTGGATAATTGATAGAAGCACCATTGTTGAGCCAATTGAAAAGGCCACTCCTCCTGAGGATCCATTACCCCGCCAACGCGGCTAACTATCACAGCCTTTGACATTTTCGAGTATCAACCTAAAGAATCTGAATTTGGTATTTAAAGATTTAATTATCTATATTTGTGCATATACAATCCATTTATTATACATTCTCAAAAATCTTTTTAATATTATGACACAATGATTTTCATAATATATTAACTTCTTGTTTCTTTTTTGGGTTTAACGCAAGATGTCCTTGCTATTGTGATTAATGGCGGCCCTTCAACATATACTAAAAATGGAAGAAAAATTCAAGAATTTATTATTATGGATAAGGGATATACCTCCTCCTATTCCTTTCCTCCGTTTCTTTTGTTGTTCCTTATCTTCCTTCACCTCTTCCTCCTCTTCTTCCTCTTCAACCACCTCTCCTTTTCGGTTGTAGCTGCTGGTTTTCTCTTTTTGTGGCAAAAAAAGATTGCATGTGATTCAACTATGATGTTGTTTTTGCAGCATTTTAGTTTGAGATTATATTTCCATATTGTAGTATTGCTGAGTGGTGAGAGGGTGAAGCACTCGCACTCTTGTAATATGGTTCTTGTTAAATCAAGCACACATAGAAACGAAAGCTTCAGGCTAAAACTCAGGATAGTGGCTTTATTAGAATTCTTGAAAATGCAATGTGTGAAAAAGAACATCTTAGCCATTAGGTTGTGACTTCGTACATTACCGTAACCATATTAAAGGTGTAACTTCCATCTTATATTTTCGTAGTGCCAAAATTTTTCTTAGGGAAACATGACTTCCTTTTATTAAAATATGTGGACATCCGTTTTTTGTCTAAGCTAGATATTTGTTATTGTTCACAATTTCATATTAATCTCCTAAGCTTAAAGTATATGTGACGTAACTTGGATGCTTGATTTATGTGATTGCAAAGTAAAATATTTCGTTATTTGTTTCCTTTAGCACTTGACTTCTTTTGTTTTTGCAACTTAAATATTTGGGAGAATTTATTTATACGGCAAGTATTTTACTTTTTCAGTTTTTGTGTCTTCTGAATTTACATTACCTTGTAAATAAAGAATGTCTTACATTTGAGGTTTATTTTACCGTCCAAGTTCACATTTAGCTATTACTTTTTGTTACGTTTACTTGACTTCCTTGCTACAAGAGTATGTTGGTTGAAACTAATGACCAATTATATCAGAATATAAATATAAATATAAATCATCAATATTATAAATTGTTGTCATCCCATGCTCATTCATATTTCTTCTATATGCTTCAAGTTTTGGGTTTGTGAATCATTTTACAAGTTCCCATGGGAAAGCCTGATAGTAAATATTGTATTTTCTTCATGTGGCTTCAATATAGTATTTGAACATCTTCTATTCATTGTTTACAGGAAAAAAACAACAAAATTCACTCTCTCGGAAGATTTCATTGATCTTTATGGGAATAAACTTTTGAAACAACTAAATGAATACCCAGTTATTCTTGCTAGAAAAATTGGTAGATCATCATCAGATATTAGTACTTACATGATTTTACCTTTTTCCTTTTCAAATATCAAACAATGAAATCAAATCTTAATATTTGAATGCATGTAGGATCATCGAACAAATTCAGTGGGCTGTCGAACAAATTTAGTACAACAATCTATGTCAATCCTCCTTACCCACAAGCTGTTGAGTTGAAGTCATGGTATTATGCGTGTATTTCTTTGTAAATTATGCATCTGTAGAAGCATATTATTGATATAATGCATTAATATATACAAGAACAAATTTTTTAGATTTTATCTACCTTGTAGGGCCAAAACAATTGAACCAATGCTTAATGCATACAAGATAAAGAGTACATCTTCCGCAGGCTTCGTTATGGTGGTTCCCTTTGAGGATAAAATCATAGCTATTTCCAATATCCAAGCACAACCTCAAGTAAGAACAACATAAATTATATTATTCTATCGAAATTTAAATATTTTTTGTAGTCACAAAAAAAATGTGGCATTCTTGAATTATATAGGGATAGGTATTTTATGTCGAAGCTGAACTTTCTCTGCCAAATGAGAACCAACGATTTTGTGTGTTAGCTTGTTCTGACTGTAAGCAATTGTTCACGGGATCTTTCTCTCGGAGGACAATTTATTGTACAAACTATCAACGATCCACTCATCTAATTCCAAGGTATAAATGCTACTAGATTCTTCTATATGACTAATGACTATAGTTATGTTGCTACTTTCTGCCTACGGTTAAAGCTAATCTTTTGCTGCTGTGATATTAGGTTAGTTTACCTATTTAATATTTGTCTATTATACTATCCCATCTCCCATATTACTTAATTAACTCATTCTTCATGGTTTATTAACATGTCAATATAGAATGATTTAAGAAAAAATCACCATGTCTTCCTCATTATTGAAAATGCTTTTTAATAAAGACAAAACATGAAAAAAAGGCGAACAATGTCTTCAAACCTTCACTTCCCCTAATTCTTGCTCTTGGCCAAGGATGAAGTCTTTTCAACAGTTAAGTATCGTCATTTTCTTAAACTATTAAACATGCTAAGAGTGGCCATAAAAAAAACCTCACATTCAACTTGTGGCACACCTCATTCTCCCCAACATTTGAAAATGTATGATTGATTGCAATTCACTTCTTCCAATGGAATTAAGTCCATTTGAAGAGTACTAACCTATATGCACAACACCTTGAAAAGGAAGTAAATGTGACCACTTCAAGAAACGATATGGAGTACCTACAAGCTCTTTCCTTGATGGGTCTTCCCCCAAAGACTTAAGTATTGAAACAACTACATTGGTTATAGTTGCAAGACAGAGATGGGCACCATGATTGGTCAAACACACCAGGATTGGTGTTTTCTTTGCTTATACTTTTGAAAATCAGAAGACTTAAAAGATGGAATTTGTCTATAGTCTGCCGATTGAATCACAATGTGATTTGCATTACAATTGAAATTAATTAATAGGGCTATAAGATGATGACTCTAAATTTTGCAACTTCTCTTTTTTGGGTGTGTTTGTGTGTTTCATTATCCTTTTATTAAAGGATTTTGTTCTTTAATAAAAAATTAATGTGCTTTGCCTTAGGATATTGTATCATTAAGGATTGTTTGATCAATAATGGTGTTACAAAAGGCCTACTTATGTTAATCTTGTAGGGAGACATCATTCCACACTGAAAAAGTGCTTTAGAAAAAATCAGTTGCATTCATATTACCCTAAAACTTAATTCATTATGTTATATAGGTACTGAAACTTGGTAATTTTCGATTGATTTTGCAGATGTCATTGCAGATGTCAGTACTTTTGTTGCACTACAAAGAAGAAGAACAATTACAGTATGGACAAAGAATCACCTTTTGTGAGTATAGATACTCTCATGGATGTAAATATTATGCCACTTTCGAAGTAAAGTGCATCTCTTTTTGTTGATATGTAAATAACAATATGTTTATATATGTATATTTATTATTCTCATGGATGTGAATAGTCTGTCACTTCAATGATGTCTCAACTTCTGTCCCTCCTATACAATTTCATATCAAAACAAATTAATCACAAATAGTAATTTCATATTCTACAGTATTGGGCCCGTGCTATACGCCATCTAGTTTTTAAATAAGTTTGAAGAATCTTCAATCAAATTTCTTTTTTAAAATAAGTTTTGTTTATATATATATTTTTCAGTTTTTAAATAATCTTTTTGAATCAAAAGAAGCAATTTTTGAAGTTATAGTCTTAAATCATTTAAACAATTCACCTGCTAAAAATTGAGTAACTATATACACGTATAATAACCTCTAGTGTTTCCCTAGAGTAGTTCAAATACATTAAGATTAAGATAGACTCAATCGTAATAAATACCATTACATTATCAACAAAACTCAAAGACATTAGAAGACAAAAGGAAAAAAAATACTCTATGCATAAAAACTTATCAATATTTTTGCATCGATTTAAAAGAATAAAAAATTAAACGCAAAACTTATACTTCACATACAAATTATTAAAAATTAATATTTTTGTCATGTTAATATATTTATGTGGTGTTTTTTGACAAATAATTATCTCTTCTAGAACTCTGCATGTAAAACTTACACAAAACAATGTATAATCCATAGCCACACATGTTTATGTTTGCATAATAGATTTACATGATAAAAGTATAAGTAGATTAAAGGAAAATACGGATGATATTGCCAATGTATAGTCAAATAATCATGTAAATTTGAAGTTACATACAATCAATCAAAAAATAAAATGAGTAATTTAGAACAAAATACAACCCAACATTATTCATTCAATGGAGAAGGAAGCACTTGGAAGTAAAAACATTACCGATAAATACAATAAATTCGTTTCTTTCCTTTTTCCTGAAATCTTTCTTTACCTTTTAAATACAATAAATTCGTTTTTCTTACCATTTCAAACTATATTCATTGTCGATCTCTATACCTCGCTTACATTCTCTTGCTTGAAGAAGCTCGAGCACTACAATTTACTCGGGAACGTGAATATTTTTTTTATCATTCTGCTCGTCTAGACCTATGAATTATGCAGCCGCCACCTTTTTCCATGCTGGCCCCATAAATAATAGGAGTACTTCGATTTTCCTTAACTACGAAACTAAATAAGATTTTTACTCATACGAAATAGAGGTAAGAGTTGGTTAAAATTGCTTTCATCATTGTAGAGTTGGTATTCAGAATTCCCAATTATGGATAGAACACGATATCCCAAATAGCTAAAATATTGGAATTCTATTAAGATTAGAAGTCCACGTCGTAATTATACTCGTATTTGGTAAAGTTTTAAATATTATAATTTTATTCAACATGAAATTATTTTGTGAAGAGGTAATTTAACTTTTGAAGGGTATAAAAGTCAAATAAATTTTAAAAATATTTTTGTTGATCAACATTTAGCGTCTTAACATTCGTGCTTTTATAATAGTATAAAAATATTATACATTAATATGCTAAAATTTTAACCCAATTATGTAGAATAGAAATAAAGTATACAAAAAATTACCACACGATTACTATACATATATAAATAAATGGGAAGAGATTTTTTTACGAATCAAGTAATGTATGATCACAGAAAGTTTACACAATTACCTACCAATAATTCAAAAAAAATTGTGTGTCTTAATATTATATTATACTAAATAAAATAAAAGTTAATAACTTATATAAACTTTAATAATCGAA